CTATGAAAATGACTTACATCTAATTAATTTTTAATTGCCCACTTAGAAGGAAACGTGAGCGCCACGAATGAATAGTATATGATTAATGAATGTTACTGCAGTGCATCTGCTTACTTTAGCCACTATCATATGCTTCATATGTAAATATCTCAGTTTGTAATAAAATTGTCTCATTTCACGGTATGCCGATTGCTAGGAATTTTTGGAACTTTTTTACATAGACGTTGTTGAGATAGATGTGTCAGGTTTTCCAGAATCAGTTTTTGAACCCTACGGCATCTCCTTGAAGCAAGCAAGATGAGTTTCAAGCACCATTACTTTAACTATTTCGATGTTATCATGCTGTGGGCAAAAAGTAGTAAGACTTTTCAATTTAAATTTCGCGCGAAAATTTATTCGCCGATATATGTTTTTTCTAGGTTGGTATGACTGTCATTTACATCTGTGCCAATTGTCACATCGAAATAATAATTGGTGTTTGGTATACATTTTTCTTTCTGAAGTATACAAGGTGGAATCGGAAACTATTTGACTATTTTGATTTCATTATTACGATTAACAGTCAGAGGTATTAGTGGCATCGTTGTTATATCAGATGGATCAGTGAATACCAATTTGAAAGATCATTTGAGACTAAACAAATAAAAACACGATTGGCCCCAAAATCATTAAATTTTTGCGATAAACAGCGTCGCTATGCTTAAGACCTGAAAACCGATGATACAACGATGAATAGCGTCTCAAAGTTGCACCGATGCCAAAAAAACCACGTCAATGCGTGGTCACAAATCAAAGCTATGTTGACAGTTTACATCGATTATCGACTTCCTTCTGACCGGCCAAACTTTCAACAAGGAATACTATTTTATTGTTGTGTGTCGGTTGCCGCCGGTATTATGGGCGGGCAACTCTTGGTTCTTACAATTATGCGCCGTCGCATACTGAATTTATTCCTCGAGAGGTTTTCGCAAAAGTTTTAACTAACATCGTGCCAAAACCATCGTAGTCGCCTGATTTTGCTCCGCGTGACTTCTGGCTATTCAGCAGACTGAAACGACCGCTCCTGCAAAACCGTCTTGAGTTAATTGAAGGCATTAAATGTGAATTGCTTCGCTCTATGAAGGATATTGCGGAAATTGACTTCAACGAGCGTTTGGAGGTTTGAAAAAACTTTGGCAAGAGTGTATTTGGGCCAAGGAAATGAACTTTGAGATGTACGACATAAGTTTTGAAGAAAAATTTAAGAATTTTAAAATCAGAAACAAATTCTTACTATTACTTACTACATATAAGACAAGTATTCAATGACTTCACGGCCTTCACTGACTGCTTTGTGCTACTCAAATACTTGTGTTTGTTAAGGAAAGGCATATGATGTCTTCTAAAAAGCTTAAAATGTTCCAACCCCCTCGAGACAGGTCAAGTGTCACTGTAGAGATGAATCAATCAAAAAAGAGTGATATGGAAAACTTGAGCAACTTACATACAATGCTGTTCAACCTTGTAGCAAACCATTCATCCCGACACCGAAAAAAAGTTAATACGATTGTTGTTGTTTTTTTTCTCATATTTAAATTTCATGGTATTATATTATTATATAAAATATAGTAAGGGTACGTATCCCCATTGACTGGTAAGAAAACTCCGCCAGGAACTCGTATTGCGTATGCTCGAGGTTACGTATCCCCAGAGGCAGTTAATGGTATGCCTGTGGAGTAGTGTGTTGAACTCTTAGAGCTCAGATCGAAAGGAAATTATTTTCGATATTTTTTCCCATACCTTGGCAATCACCATAGCCGTACTAAATACCAGTAAATAATTAAATTTTCCACGTATTTATACTTTTTCATAACTATAAAATTAAATTAGAAATTCTACCGTAAATACCCAAAAGAGTAACGAAAGCCAAACTACCATAAGTTACCTTCACCTTGCTATTAAATATAAGTGTGGAAATAAAACCTCTTCATTATGGAACTTAAGGCGATAAGATTTGTGGTTTTCGTCATTCTAGCGCTGCAGGTAGACCAAAATATAAAGCACGATATTTGTAACAGCAAAAAGATTACGTCGGAGATTCTATTTTTATATATAAAACTACATTTCACGTTCTTTGTCCACGTTGGACTCCTAAACTACTCAACCGATTTTAGTAACATTTTACACACAGTGTCCAGTTCGAACCAACTTAGAAGATAGGTTAGTAAAAAAATCATAAATAAAAAATACAGTGAATGCTCTATTAAATGGACCCATTAGCTGAACAGAAAGGCTGGTAATATGTAAATATGTATAAATAATCGATATGACGAGCTGAGTCGGATTTGTCATGTCTATCTGTCTGTCCGAACTAGACCGGTTCAGGTTCTGAGATACCAATATCCTCTTCTTCCAAAACCCGTTGTCAAAAGCCCCAAAACTGAACGATCGGAATCGGTTGTATAAGAGATTGCAGTTGCATATAGCTGCTATACAAACTCATTGATCAAAATCAAGAATTTTCGCTGTTTTCGATGCAACAGAAGTTAATGTTTTACATTATCTTTTTTTTTAAGTTGACATCAGTTGCATTTGGTGATCGCAGAAATAAACTACTACAAAAAGATTATGTCGAACAACCAAGATGGATGCAAGAGGCGACAGGGGAGGCAAAAGACAAATGACATAAATCGACAATCATCCAATAAACCTAATTATTGCATATAAATAAAATCCCGAAATTGTCTTTATTTGTCAATAAATAAAAAATTATTTCATATTTCTGATTTAACAGCATGGATTTAGCGTTTTAATGCATTACTGAATATTTTCATAAAATAAAAACTTTGTTAAAAAGGGTTAGTGGTCCAAAGGAGAGTGGTTGGATATGTACTTAACCTAACAGCACGGTTAATGCCAGGTAGGAGAATGATGATCATTTATATAATATATATATTTTTATGGAGTCTCAGAAATTTCATTATGGGTGTTACAAGCCTCGTTGAAGTCTATCTTTTCTTCTTCAACTTTAGTGACGAAAACAGCGTTTACGCGATTATAGTCGAGTTTACAACAGCGTCAATTGGAGACTCCAAGCGAAGCCAGGCCATTCTCTACCTGGTCTTTCCAACGGAGTGGAGGTCTTCCTCTTCCTTCGCCCTCCGCCGGCGGGTACTACAATCGCTCGACTTAAATTTTGCCTTCGTAGCTGCCGTCTTTTAATTCGCTGAACTATGTTTGGTTTTTCGGAGAAACGAAATTCATATATCGCGGCACAAAGGCGCTAATTTTCGTAATGTCAAAAGCAGCTCTAAAATCCACGAAGATGTGGTGTGTAGATCCTCTTTTCACGGATATTTCGCAAGACTTGACAGATGGTGGATATCTCATCAATTGTTGATTTACCAGACCTGATGCCATACTGACAAGGTCCTTTCTTACAATACGCTCTATAGAACCTTATATACGAAGTTAAAGAGGTTTATCCCACGGAAGTTAGCGCAGATTGTGGGTTTTCCCTTTTTGTGGATTGAGCAGAACGCACTTAAATTCCAATAGTTGGGCAAGCTTTCGTCCGACCATATTTTGGAAAGAAGCTGATGCATGTTCCTTATCAGTTCTTCGCCGCCGTGTTTGAATAGCTTGGCCGGCAATCCATTGGCCCCCGCCGCTTTGCTGTTCTACAAACGGGTAATTGCTATTCGAACTTCTTTATAATCGGGCTTCATCGTAGTCAATTGGGTTCACCTTCTATTGGCGTTATGCTTTCACTGCCATTCAGCAGACTGGAGACCTCTGGAGGTTTTACAAAGTGTGCTCCAAAGTAAATAGGGCTTAAAAAAAAAAGAGAACAAATGGTTTTTTCGGCAAAATCAATTCATTTTATTCAAAATAGTCTGTTTCTGCTTCAATACAGCTTTCTGCACGGTCCAAAAGCACGTCGAACGGGTATTTTAGCTCGTTGGCCGGTACTGCCGCCAGTATGACGGTTCAAGCTTTTTGAATGGCCTCTACATCTGCATTACGCTTTCCTTTCATAAGCAAATGCATTTATCCGAAAGAAAGAAGTCGTACGGTGCCGTATCATGTGAATAAGGGGAGTGATTAATGGTTAAAATGTGATGTTTGTACGGAACAAACTGTGCACTCACTTTTCGGAAGCCCAAACATTCGGTTCAAATGCGATAAATCGATGTTTTGGTGGTTTTCAATTCCATTTGCATGAATTTAAATGATGATTTCGGTTGATTTTTCACTAGTCCACATGTTGATTGTCATATATGTCCCCAGGACCACTTGGAAAACGTTGAAACCGCTCGTGCGCTCTACTACGGAAATCATCACCATAAACTTCTTTCATCAATTGAAACGTTTAGGTAAAAGTTTTACCAATTTTTAAGCAAAATTTAATGTTGGCTCTTTGTTCGAAGCTCATTATCTCACCGATAACACAAACATACTGACACTTAAAACGCAAGAACTTCATTTCTAATCAATGAAACGTCATAAAATGAATGGACAATCGATAAATATAGCAGATTCTAACGCACTAGTCGACATATAGATGGCGGCGCTAGGGAGAGCTAGATTCAGAAAGTCTTTTTTACGTTGGAAAGCACCTTGTAAAAGAGTATACACCGGTCTTGAATCGTTTGGTTTAGCTTTTAGGGATTATACAAATTTGTTTGTCAGTTTCTGAGATATCCGAATAAAAGTGAATGCTTAGTGCATCACTTTTGTACTTAGACCTATATATTCTTCAGGAAACAAACATTTTATGAAATAATTATTCCGATTTCTGAGCAAAAAATACTATCATAATGGTGCTTATAAAAGAAAGCCTTTGTCAAAACACCTCAAAAACACCCCCTCAATATTTGTGAAAACAAAACATTACTAGATTCCCGTTAGGGCATGTTAATTAAAATTACACACCTTAGCATGAATGCTAATATTGGTTTGGAATTTAAAAAACGATATAAAATGCTAAATAAAATGTCTGAAACGTGAGTGCTGCTTTATGTCATGCCAATGAAAGTTTTAGGCGACTAACTGATGGCGCAGAGACATGCAGTAATGTGGCTTGTAGGCCTGCTTGTCGTACAGGTTAAGATGTAATATGAAAACACAATATATGATTTAATTTAAATAATTTGTTGCCTTCTACAGATTGTGGTATCTCAACAACCAACTATAACCAAGTCCGATGGGAAAATTTTATTAAATTTAGAATATGTCAACCAACCAGTTCTACGATTTAACCCAATATATAAGAATACATTTAAACCAATCTCCTCAATAGTAGCAGAGCCAGGAACAAATTCTCAACCAGAACCACAATCAGAACCAACAACAGAACCACAACCAGAACAAAAAACAGAACCAACACCAGAACCGCATACAGAATCACAACCAGAACCAGAGACAACACCAGAACTAGAGATAACACCAGAACCAGAGACAACACCAGAACCAGAGACAACACCAAAACCAAAGCGAAATCCAAAACCAGAACTAGAAGCAATAACAACTGACAAACTGTACAAACTATTACAGTTTTTCAAAAATTTTGTGTAATTAATGCCAAAAGGCCCTCAATTATAAGTGTAACAACACAACAGAGCCAGAAGTAGGTCCCACTTTCAGAATTAAGATTGTACAATGCAATTTAGGAATACATAATAAATTATACATTTGTTTTTCAATTTCCAATATACTAGGTAACGGATATGAGGATGTATGAATGAACTTGAATCTCGGAAACAATATTATGCGATACCAAATATAATCCATCAGAAATCAACTTGATTGGAAATGGGCGCAAAGCTTTTAAGGAATACTACCTTTACTTCTCCATTGACTTTTATTATTATTGTGGTCATTCGTTGATTATACGAAGACTTCTAGCACATAAGACTCCAATATAACGTAATTAAGGCAAGGCATAATAAAACCAGAAAAAACTTTAACTGTAGCTGAACCAAAACTATAATATCCTTCACAAATACAAACTTGACTTTGATCACTCAATTTACATGGCAGCCTGAAAGACTAGTTCGCGTAAATACGCACAGACCCTCCGACGTTTGCTTTTGGAAACGTGGGAAACTTAATAAACACTGTTCGGGGTATGAAACCCAGTCTGACATACATATACATTATGAAAATGCTGATTACGGTTAATGGTTTTCAAATAATAAACGATGTGGGAATAAATAAATAAACAAAAATAAATAGTTATAATCCCTACTAGAGACCAAAGCGCCTAAGTTGTCTAACAAATGGAATCGGCTGCAAGTCAAGTGCAAGTGCTCATCTAACATTTTTTTTTTGTTTGAGAATTTTAAATGGAAGAAAATCTCGCAAGTTCTTACGCAAGAGTTAAAATCGTGTTCACGCAATCTAACGTTTTCAACTAAAAAATTAATAACGGGTTAAAAAAAAAATTTTTTTTTAAATTAATAACATCTCAAGAATATTGTTTTTATTCCTGAAATTGATCTGAATATTAGTTTAGGGGATACAGCCTGAAAAGTTTTGCGCTCGAGGTCAACTATATAATCACTTAAAAATCTAAACGTATTTTTCTTAAGATTGTGTTTTCGAAGTCGGTTCTCAAGATTTCTCGCAAACTACTCGGCCGATATTAATGAAACTGAAACTGATAGAGATATAATTTATAAGGCCTTGCGAAGATTTTGTTATTTAATTACAACACAAAAAAAAATATATATATACTATATATAAATTTATAAAGACAAATTTTACCAAAATTTCCATTTTTTAAAACAATTGCCAAAAATACAATTTTAACTTCTTTGTTTTCCTCCTTTCAATACCGAGCTTATGGTCTTAATTAAAATACTTATTTTTTTATCCTGTAAGAAGCCTTGCTGTCAACGCGGGGCACCTTTTCTCCGAGGTAGGAACAATGACGTCACACTTATGATGTCGAAAATGAGGAATGATAAATCCTTTCTTTAACAACAGAAGAAGCTGTTAAGGAAATTAGTAAAAACGTGAGTCGATGGACAGCAAAGAAAAATGCTAATGCTTGGTTACAAGGCAATATAAAGACTGTAGAAGACTGGAAACGTGTTATCTCGTAAACTAGGTTTATCCATTTTCCGCCAGATGGAAAGTAATATTATTTGCGCAAGCTCAGCGACTACCTTCAAGGGCATCATGTAAAGTACATCGTGAAGCTTGGAGAGGGGGGAGGTGCTTACGTGGTGGCACCTTGGACCATTAAACAGGATTGATAGTATTATACGAAAATAAAATTATTCACATATTTTGTATACCTACATTTCCAATTTGTTCGCAAATGGCTGTGAAAGTACACACTTAAGTAGATGGGGTGGCCAGCACAAAGTACCGACCTTAATTCAATTCAGAATTTTGAACGACGGCTCGGACGGTATCAAGTTGCTCCAACCAACCTTGACGGCTTTTGAATGTGAGTAGAAATGAAGTAGAATCAAATTCCAAAAGAAATAATAGAGAATCTGGTTGAGGGTATCTATTTTTATAGATAATAAGGACTTTTGAACGAAATATTAATAACATATCACTATTCTCTTTTATCATGCCTTTTATTGGATATAGTTTTCATACTTGTTTTAGCCGTCGTCGAAATGTGGTGTAATGTTGTGAAAGTAACTTCATTTCCACGACTTTTGAATATTCTCAGGTCAGTCAAAAACTTACATTCTAAATTCAAGTGACTTCTTTGCATTAAAGGGTTAAAATTGTCATTAAGGACGCACCATCATGGAAAATTCTAATTTGTACGGTTTTATATAAAATTTTACTCCAGAATTTATAAAATACTAAACAACTGTCTTAGTGGTCAGTATCAATTCAACACTCTTTCACAACAGTTACACAGTTACAAAATACACAATCTGAAACGAAATCGTGAAAAATGAGGCAGAAATGGATGTTGTTCTTAATCGTAGCCATCGTGGCTATTCAGGTAGATAAGTTATTCCCTTAAAATATAAATTTATATGTTTTTCTTATTCCAGTTAGTAGCTGCACAATTTTGGGGTCTTCCCGGTGGCTACAGTGGCTTAGGTCAGAGACCGAGATATTTCAATAGAGATGATGACCCAAAACGTGGGTAATAATCCACGTAATAGACCACGACAACATGATTTTATATGAGTACCGAATGACACCCCTTAAAAGGATTTAGAATTAGAATAACACAAAATCGTGCCTTACAATGCTAAATGATGACACTGATGAATGAGCTGCAAAAGTAAATTTTCAAATAAATGCAGAATATACTTAGTCTCGAACTTAGAATAAAATTTGCTTTTAATTCAAATGGAGATGATTATAATATTGACTAGTCGAAAAAGTCTTTTCGTATTTCTAATCAAACTTCAACTTAATTTCTTCTATATTTATAATGAACTTTATGTAATTCGCTTCAGAAATGGTTCAATTTGATTTCGATGCTTTAAATTTTTCACAGACAATTCATGTGGCACCCAAACATCGAGCTTCTTTTTGTAGCTAGCCTTTTTTAGATGGTTCAAAAGCGTTCGATGTTGAATGTTATATGTTCCCTAGCGATGTCATGGCTGCTTATGTGACGGTCTTGGTCAATATTTTTCATAATTTCTTCGACTTTTTCAACGATAGGACGATCAGAGGAAGGTGCATCTTTCACACCGAAATTTCCAGAACAGAAGCGACCGAACTATTGTTGTGCTACATGCCTAAGTTAACTTCACAATCCTCATTGGTAGCGTGCGTGGCATTCTTCCCTCACTCATTTTTGTACAGCACTGGAGGTATACAACGGCAACGACATTTATTAACAAAATATGAAAAGTCTTTTTCGACTACCCAATAAAAATTTCTAATATGTCAAGTTAGATTAACCCATTATCATAGTACATAGACCTTTCTCAACCTTCTTCATAGTCGACCGAATGACGACTGCTATATAAAATAAGTATTTTTGATCTTATGCAGAAGATAAAGTCGAGGACACGCAACACTAGCTCTATTAACAAGACAAGCGAGCGTTCTATTCAAAAAAGTAGACACGCTACAAGTTATCGGCAAACAATAAGTAAATGTAGATCCAAGGTTTCTCATAATGCAAAGCTTCCAAATAAATTTGACTAAATTTTCAACGGGCTCAAACCCGTTAAAATCTTGCAATTAGTTATACTGACATTGTTATCCCCTAACCAATACCTTAAATGTATAAATTAGTTATAAACGGATAAATACAAAAATTTTGAACCTTCTGACAACAGTTGGGTCTACATAACATAAATGGGCCTGGTTTTTTTCCGGCCAACGACAGTCAATTCCATTCCTCTAAATTATTTCAGGGCTGTTTTCTGCCATTAAAACAACAACAAGAAGAGTCTTCTTATACTTTATAGTTAATTCAAATATATTTAACGTCCAATTAGTATGCACCGTGTTCAGTCTTATTTTTAATCATTATAAAGCAGTAGCAAAAAAAACTTGGATTATTTTTCAAAAATTAAAAGTAGTAAGGCACACAAAAAATCGGTACGGAGACCACCCTTAAAAACGTAATGATCCTAAAATAACCTGGGAAATGTTGGCCCTTTATATTCACATAAAATCCTCCTTTCCAGAGCTCTGATCGCCTCGCGACGTAATGTATTGCTACCATTTGCACTCTTTTCGTACTTGTTATAGTCTTCATCGAAATGTGGTCTTATGTTGTCGAAATTATTCCCATTTTAATTGAAGTAGAAAAGTGACTTCTTTGCATTAATGGGTTAAAATTGTCATTAAGGACGCATCGTCATGAAAAATTTTAATTTGTATGGTTTTATATAAAATTTTACTCCAGAATTTATAAAATACTAAATAAGTGACTTATTGATCAATATCAGTTCAACACTCTTACACACAGTTAGACAGTTAGAAAATATACAATCTGAAACGAAATTGTGAATAATGAACCAGAAATGGATGTTGTTCTTAATCTTAGCCATCGTGGCTATTCAGGTAGATATTATTATTCACTTTCAATTTATATTTATAAGATTTTCTTATTCCAGTTAGTATCTGCACAATTTCCGGGTGTTCCAGGTGCCTATAGTGACGTAGGACTGAATATGAAATATGTCAATCAACCAGTGATAGATTTTACTGCACTGCAACAAATGGGCATAATTCCTCCAGAAGATTTTCAAGTAGCACAAAATGATGACCCCCAAAAATATGCGCCACAAAGAGATACTACACAAAGTGACGCTCCACAAAATGATTTCCCGATCTACACGTAAAGATCGGCAAAAAAGTAGAGGCTGTGAAGTAAATTTTTATTGAAATACCAAATAAACGTATTAACCCATTTAAAATAATATTTGCTGTTAGTTGAAATGGAGCACAACATAAGTAGAGAGAAAATGAATATAATACAAAAAGTGTCTATAACGCTGTGATGAGTTTAAATAGAACTATTATTTATTGAATTTATACTAAACTTTTTAGATTCTCTCCTCGGACACAATCTCTTTGGATGTCCAATCCGATTATCAAATTATCATAATAGAATTTCTTAACAACGCCCTTAAGGTAAAGATGTTGTCCTCAAAAATAGTATGTCCACTATATATGTATAAAGAAGGCATATTTCGAGGTTATACATTATTGAATGTACAACATTTGAAAACTTGAAACTATGAAATGCAATTAAGAATTATACAAAGTATAAAAACGTTAGAAAATGGCAAAATTTCCCGATATTTAACACGTAATAGTACCACTTACGCTCTCGCAGGCTACACAGGTTGGATAAATGGTAACTATTTTTATTTAAAAATTTAGGGTGTTTGTTTCATATTCCAGTTAATAGCTTCGTATTTGGGAATATCCTTGCTCAAATCACGCTATGTAAATCAACAAACTATTTCATTAACGTTAGCGTCCGCAAAGCTCTACCAAAATCACATTCCATAAAAGTAATAGCAAAAGTAAGTAGGAAAAGGCATCAAATACGGTTATCACAAAATAATGAATGAATCAGAATCAAGTGGAAAACTCTTATACAACCAAAGCCAAAGCAAAATTATCTGCAAATCAAAAACCTCAAAAGCAAACAAGTACCGAATTCTCCAAGGACGCTCAAATTGGCTAAAGAATCGTTTAAACGAAAGTATCAGAACAATTGGCAGCTTCCTCAGTTGTTAGCAGGCAAAATCCAACTGGGAAATTGCAAAATCAAAGTAGAAAATTTCATAAAGTAGCAAGAACTAACAGCGAGATATTGAATACTCAAAAAAAAAAAACAAAAACAAAAAACGGAGAAACGTATTTGCTTAAATATCAGGAAACAACGCCTGAAGCACTATGCTTGGTGCAATATTAAAAACATGTGACAATGAATCAATTAAACATACCGAATCAGATTGGATTACATCTAATATTCCGAAACCTGAGAAAACAATGCGTGAAAAATAGTTAGTTAGTTAAAAAACACAACCAAAATACAGATTTGCCAGAAAATGTGACATCTAACAAAGGAGCATTTCTAATTTCTAATTCTAAGGAGAAACCATTTGAACAAGCAGAATTTCTAAATGATCAAACACAAAAAACTGAATAGCAAAATGTAGATACAAAAACTATAGATAAATTTCATCCACCGCTCTTTGTCCGAAAAGTAATAGGACTGAGTCGATTTGAAAAAATTATTGAAACAATCTTTACAATTCTTTAAACATTTTGAACATAGGTTCCTTCTGTGCCTATGTAGCGCTGCCAGCGCGATTTCCAAGCATTGAACGCGTGACGGAAGGTATTCTCCGGAATAACCTTGAAAGCCGAGGTGCATGCTGCTCGGATCCCCTCTGCCGGCATGTGTCACTCGGAAGATTGCCTTTTGTCTCGGGATTATACTCAAAGATCCATGACTTGATTACGTTATTCAAAAATTGGGGTCACTTTCACACATGTTCAAATTTTCCTGGTACACTTACATATTGTCGGTGTTTGTCGAACTCTCAAGTCTCCCAGCACGGTCTTCATCAGCGACTTCGCCCCGGCCCTTCAAAAAGGGCCAGTCGGTGTGTGCACCCTCAAATGTACAGTCGTGGCGGAAGAAAATCAGTCCTATTACTTTCCGGATAAACCCTTTATACCTCAAGCGATTGGCATATGAAGTGCGTGAAATGTTAAGACTCCATATCTGTATACAACTATAGCAACCAAAACAAATTACTTTTTTTCCAGTTTAACGTCATGCTACATAATGCATAAAATTCATATAATTTTAAAATTTACCATTTATTCTATTATTAATTTTGTTTTTATTAATAAAATTTATTAATATGTATATTTTGCAAATATTCAATGCAATATGCAACGCAGCTATTCATTATGTGTTACACAAGAAAGGAGGAAGACATCTTTGGCCAACTTCAATTAAGAGTTCTTTTAGTAGTCTCGCTGGCTTTGCAGGTATTGAAGAAAAAACATTTTTACTGAAAATTCGAAAAAATCGATCTTGTTTTACAGTGCACCGCGAAAGCAAAATTAGCTGAAACTAATAAATTCCTGAGCGATCAGTACGAAGATGGGACAAAGTTAGAATCACTAGTGTTAGAGCCACGACCGGCAACTCAAGACGATACTGAATTTAAGTTGAAGATTATACCAGTACCAATTCTACACAAACTACAACCATCACCGCCATACATGCATCAAGAAAGAGAAAGAAACATGAGTCAAGCTAGCTTAGCGATTCCGTTACAAGAAGTACATTTGGAAGATGAACCGAACCATGAAACATCTAGCAATAACGGAATATTAATCCACCAAGAAAAAGATCCAAAATCAGAATCACAAAATATTCATATAATACGAATGCCAAAATGCGGATTAGGGAAATATCTGGTACGCGGATTTACACCACTAAAAGGTCAACAACCATTTTTTCAACTACAAACAAAACAACAGGGTCCAGATGGAGCGCCAGGATTAACTATATTTTTGTGGTAAAAAGCTAATATTATCTATTTTTCAAAAAATCAAAATTTAATACCACTCGAAATATTTGAAATTCAAACATAAGAACAAATACAAACGATTTTATATAAGAATATAATAATATATTTTTTCCGTGGTTTCTTCAAATACTGTATCATTACCTTAAGCTGCATCCTATAGTTCTTTTATATTAGCAGTTTCTACAAAATATCAGTTTGTTGAGAAGAAAAGAACGTGTTTAAAATTGCGATATCTCAAAAACTGAGGGAACTTTACATACCAGATTGTTCAAAAAAACTTGGTCTATCACCATGATCCTGAAAAAAAACAAAAGGCTAAAGAGTAGTGTGAATCTGTTTGTTCAGCTTCGAAACGAGTTCGTGTCCGGAAATTGGCCAAGAAGGTTATAGCATCAGTTTTTTCGGATGCGAGAGAAATTTTGTTTTTGGTTTACTTGCAAACTCTTAAAATAATTAATTCTGAATATTATTGCTACATTTTGGACCAGTCATAAAAGAAGAGCCGGTTTGCAGAAGAAAAACAATCATTTTTCATCAGGACAATGCACCAATGTATTTTGAATCACAAAATTGTGTTTTCTTATCAACCGACAAAATTTATTGAATAACTTGGTTAAACGTTAAGTAAAATTTCTGTCAAAGCTTTCTAAGTACAAATGTCTTCCTGTTAAACTTTTCTTAATTAATTTTTATTCTAATCACAGTGAAATATACTTAGAATTGTTCTTGTGTTTCTGTCTTCCACATTGTAATATATATTATATATGTATTTATAATAATGACGAAATTTCAGCTGTGAAAGTGATACTGCGGAATTCATGGAAACAAACCCCGGAAAATACAATGTTATCACAGATCGTCAATTAAGAAGAACACACTTTTGAATAATTAATAACGGCGAGTACAATGCAGTCCTCCTAAATGAATTTGAATGATATAAAACGCTAGTTGAGCAGCGCAAGAAGCTCAGTATCAGTCAGCGAGGCTTCACAATTCACAGCAAAGTACCGCAAGTGTGAAAAGATTGGAAATGTTGGCGCAAAGATTATTCGTTGTAATGATAGGCTTGCTTGTTATGGAGGTTTGTATATAATTTGTGGATTTAATATGGAAATTATATTTTTGCTCCTTTTAGTTAGCGGCAGCGCATTCTCTATGGTCATTTAGTCCTTTGTTTGTTTCGGCGGAAGATGAGGGATTTGTAAGGAACATTGATTATGCAGCCCATTTGCGCTCTTCGGAAGAAATGACAAGTAAAACGGGTGACAATTTATGCGCTACAATTAGTTTGACTAGCACACCACCAAAATTTTTGGAAAAGGCTTATAGAATATTCGCTGAAGTTTTGGTGCGTGACTCAAGGATAGTCAGTTCAACCAAATTGAAAGAAGTAAAAGCGATGTATAGGGACAAAGAAACGAGCATCGGCCATTTCTTCCTTATGCGAAGAAATTTGGGTAAAGTCAATATCACGTGGGAGGGCAAAGCAATGTACAATGCTATAAGAGAAATAGCCGCCAATACCTCAAATTCCAATAAGATCGAAAACGAACCGGCCTGGTTGGATCAAATGATAGTAGGCGTCGTCTGTGGTGTGCTCAAAGCTCAAGAACAGGGAAATGCAGATAATTTGGTTGACCAAATCACATTCGAAAAAGAAATTAGCGAGCATTTCGATGTGTTTATGCGATTTTGGCTGGATTACCCGAAATCTAAGAGAGCACAGGATCAAAGTTACACCACAAGCGCACCAATTAGGCAAAAGAAGCAAGCAACTGAAGAGATTTCATGTGTAATTCCAGCATTTGAGTTTGCCATAACATCAGCCAATACAGCTTACCACGCCTTTGCTGTGATTCTCGTACGTGATTCGGCAACAGTCGTTGAAAGCAAATTGAAAACGAATCCCGTGAATAGAAAAGAAAAATTCGATTTGTCTGCAATGTTGAGAAATATTGAAAGCTACGAGATTTCAAATGGAACTATGCAAGGAAAACTTATGCACCAGAAGTTGCGAAGAATCAATCAAGAAATGGATGAAGAAATGGATGCAGAAGACTCAACCTGGCTAAGGGACATTGTCGATAGGATTTTTGTCTTGCACAAAAAGTGCACACAGAAAGTGATTTCAAGCTGTTAGTTGACAATAACACAATGACAGACGCAATTAAAGAACACTTTAACGTATTTAAACAATTTTGGCTGAATTAGAGAGCTTTGATACTTGTCTTAAGGTACAGGTGGGAAATAGTGATTTCCAAGCAGCTAAATTACGATGTGGTTTTGCGGTTATGCTGTTTTAGTCAGAAATAAACAATTATTTTATTTTTTTGTTCAAACTTATTAATATATCTTAAATTTAGAGCAAACAATTAATTTTTGTTTATGTAACTATTTATTTATTTCATCAATAAATTATGATTTTATCAGAAATTTTGGAAGCACCTATTCATTTTTATTCTGCAATTTTTTAAGTTCAGTAGTTTATTGTGGCCCTTTAGTCAACCTCGGTGCCATATTATATAATACAATATATATCGAGTTTTTCTATAGGAACATCACAAAAGTAGACTGATAGGGACAGCAAACGACGACATATCATTTCCCGCTCTTTTGACCCTTCTCTTCGATGAAGTTTGCCATTTCATCATGGAAAGATATACAATCCAACAACGAGCTGAAATTATTAAAGTTTACTACCGAAATTTGCAGTCAGTGGCCTCAACTTTAAGAGAATTACTTCCAATTGATGGTCGCCATGATCTGCCTGTCAGATCAACAATTGAGCGTCTAGTGGATCCACCGGCACAGTACAAAATGTTCCCGTACCAGTTTGACAAGAAGTGCCCGTTGTATCGAGAATATTGCTGCCGCTGGCGCATCAGTTGAGGAACACCCAAATCAATCTCTCACATGTCGTACTCTGGCATTGGGCATCTCTGCGCCGCCCTTGTGGCGAATTTTGCGAAAAGGTCTTGGTCTACATCATTACAAGTTTAATTTGCGCAATAACTGTAGCCGTTTGATCAACAGATTTCAATCGAAAAATATACTTCAGCGATGAGTCTCATTTCAAGCTGAACAGCTTCGTCAATAAGTAAAATATGCTTTATTCATCAGGCAGCAATCCACACGTATTATATGAGTCGTATAGTTAAGTAGCTGTTCAGAAGAAAGGCGGCGTGATCGTGGTGCTACTTACAATCGGCACTGTATTGTCGAACCCGATTGAACCTTCGTTTGAGTCTCTTGACGATTTCCACGTAAAACTTGACATTGACGGTTTGACCAGGAGGAACAAATTTATAGTGGACGACAATGAGTATCGTTTTCACTTTGGATTTGCTCACTAATCAGCGAACTCTTCACAGCCCTCCAAAAAGGTCTGGTGCCACCGAAACACACCGCATCTTGCTGAACCAACATCTGACTAAGCATGCTTGACATCATATGAATATCAAACGTGTCTGTCGCAGCTTTACCGAGTTTCACACAGAATTTAGTCGCGTATCTCTGCTCTAACGAGCGCTGCATTTTCGGCTTGCACCACCCACAGAAACACGTGGCGCGAAAATGTTTGTTGAGACTCTCCAGGTGCTCGGAGGCAATGGACCAGCCGCTCGTTCATTAGCTAGGAATGCCCTCTACCGAATCCAGTCGGTGTACGCATGCTCCAAAGTACAGTCGCGGCGGAAGAAAGTCAGTCCTATTAACTTTCGGACAATCAGTGTATACTCCATTGCAGACATAGCACAGTAAGATGACGCATGACGCAAAGCATTGAAAAAATCGGAAAATTACAACTTTACGCCAATTTTTAGTAAGACATTTTAAGCTATAAGTATGACATTTAATGCTACGAAACAAATGCGAAAAATATTAAATGTTAGTTGTGAGAGAAGTTCAGTGCCTGCCAGTAGATCATTACAATTCCGAACAGAAGTGAGAAATGGTGAAGATGTTAAGGCTGAAACAAATACTCGCTCTGGTAATAGGCTGCTTTGTATTTCAGGTATCTCAGGTATCTAACAGCTGTCTACATAATTTTTTGTAAAACTAAAACTTTCCATTTTTAGTTGGCATTAACCCAAGCCATATTTTCATTAAAACCATTAATCCTGGATTGGTGGAAAACATCGTCACAGAAAGTAATCTACATCAACCAACCAACTTTATCTGCATGAATATATATATTCATATAGCGCCAGATATTGTCTTTTACTAGAGTAAACTTTTTGAAAAGTCGAAATGCCTTGTTGGCACTCGAGAGTTCGATATGAAATGTGGAGTTAAAACTAGATAATATACATATATGAGTCCATACGACCGCAATATGCTAGCCGTGTATATGAAGTTTCTTCGTCCAAATAATATTACTCGTAAAATTCTATGAAGATAACTTGTCAAATAAGAGTGGTTTCCATACGAGGACTTATGTTAGATCGGTTAGTTTGTATGGTTGCTATATGCTGTAGATAAACCCCTATAAAGACTGGTTTCGGAGATCGTAGCGATGCTATGAATAATAATCTGGGCAAAATTTCGTGACGATACCCTGTCAAATGGCCGAGTTTTCCATACAAAGACTTGTATTGGATCGGTAAGTTTGTAGGTACATTAGTGTTTTTTTTGTTTTTTGGAGAACTATTCACCTTTTTCAATCCCACCATGAAATTTCCTTGGAAATACCCTAATAAAAATTCCATGAAATTTGAACCCTTAATACTAACATTAAGGACTGGAACAAAGCATGTAAAATTTTCCATAAAAAAAATACAGGACAATATCAGAGGCATTTTATGGCATCGCCTTGGCTTTAGACACATATTCCTCAAAATTTAACACTGTACAAAAGTGTCCATTGCGACGAAGTCGAAACTCACAAAGGCGAGGCAGGTCGGGGCTTTAAACCTGACTTTTCCACGGAAATCGCATTTTTCTGAAAATATCTCGTAAATGCCAAGAGCTATAAAAAATTTACATGACAAGGTTGTAGAAAATTTTATTTGCTAGGAAAAAGGTCTGAGGTCAAAACCGCTATGATTA